ACATGCTGGCTAATGAAAAAAGAGTGCATTTAGAATATTGCTCTTCCAGCTGAGATGAGCAGCCGTATCCCTGAGGGGCGGCGAAAATGCTGCGAAGGATCCCACCGCTCCCATGCAAAGTCCAAGTCCCTTACAATGGGGTCCCCCAAGGTCTGACCCCTGCCTAGCTCTTCAGCCTGCTCGCTAGCTATTATCTGCCTAGTGCCTCATGCTAGATCATGTGGTCCTTTGCCTCCTGGCTTTGATCATGCTTCTTTTCTCTCCCTGGAATGTTCTCTATCCCCTGCATGGCTTCTATCTTCCGACGAACTCCCCTCTGCCCTTTAAAGCTCCTATCAAACCTCGCCCCGTGCGGGAAGCCTCCTGGGATCCCTGCTCCCCAGGCCACGCAGGGAGTGTCTGTCCCTTGGGCTTCCCTAAGAGTCTGTGCATTTATCTATCAGTTGCAGTGTCATCTATGTATCTTAGTTGCTTATGTGCCTCTGTCCCGCATAAGAAATCAGGGATAATTTTTTAACCTATCATTCCACATCTACCTTTTATTCCTATGCTTGGCACAGAATTGATGCTCAGTAAACATTTCTCAGAGCAGAATTAATGAAAGTCAATAGTTGCAACTACAATACAAAGAGAGAGAAATTTACTTCTGATTTTCATGAATACCATTGTTTAAGAAGCCAGGATAAATTTGCAGGAAAAAGTTAAAAGGCTGATTGTTTTATATTTTCTTTCTCAACAAACAAATACTTGCGGTTATACTCCATTTTCTTTGTCCATTCACTCTTTTAATTTACCACTAGCAAGTCTTCATCTGAAATGGGGGTGATGTTTGCCCATTCTTATTTAACATTTTATAAATAACTTTTAAGTTGAAGTTACTGCTTTGTGGGTCAAAAATAGTCAGATATTGGTGATTTTCATGGCTCAACCTAAATATAAGGATTACAAGCTATGTCTCCCTGCCTTGCATCTGCTCACTGTCTTTTTACACAGCTCCCCTAGCCTGGGTTTCTTGTATTCGTAACTTTTAGAGTCGGTAAATCCACCACGTGCATTTTGTTCAGGTGAATAGAGATTGTCTCTGAGGCCTCGGAGGTCAGGGGACCCCATCCCAGCGTACCCCTTAGGCCACAGCGGGAACGACGCCTGTCAGGAAGGCCTGTACGAGAGGGGACTCCATGGCCACCTCCAGGCTCTCTCCAGTCCCCTGCAGGACCCTGTCAGAGTTAAAATGATGTTCAACACCATTAAAACAGTAATTTGTCCCTGTGTGCCTGTCCCACAATCGGATTTTCAAGGAGTTGCTTACATTTCTCTCCGTGGATTCAGGAACCCATTAGTCCCACATTATCTAAGTTATTGAACATGTGTTGGCCCTTCCAGCTATTCCATGAGTCACTCCTAAACGTGCTCAGCACAAATGAAGAAGATGCGTGACGATAACGAGCATCGCTTCCTGCAGGAGGAGTTGCCCCGAGCCTGCGGGGTTAGGAGGAAGGCCAAGGTCAGGACTTCAGGGCCAGGTGGCTCTGAGCCAAGGTCCTCTGCTTGGGAAAATGAGGCCTCTTATCCGAAGAGTTTTACCTGCTGTTTATATGAATGCTGGTGTTAACATTTTCCGTACTGCTGATTTCTTAATCCCTTTTAACTTTGAAGCTTAAAGGAACCTTTGAAACTAACTGAGCTAGCTGAAAATATCTTTTAAAAATAAGAAACCCATTTAGATTCTGGTGCACAGCAAATTCTCTGTGAAGAAAAGCTCCAAATTTGTGAATCTATTTGCATTTCCATAAACACAGAGAATCTTTGTCTGAACTTATTATGTGACAAATAACAGTGTTAGAAACGGGTGTTTTAAGACTCTGATTATGCATATGCTCCCATTCTTGTTAGTGCATTTGCAACGTGAAACAATACAAAACTCATACTTTGGACTCAAGAGCTTTTTTCTTGAAGTTGATATTTTAATGAATTTCCACTAATATTGGCCTCCTTACTGTAATTAAAATATTAGAAAACAAAGAAAGATGCTAAGGTGCCTCTCCCCCAGGGAAGCAGGTCCTGAGATGGAGACGGACATGTAAGATGTTTGTTCGGTCGTGGCCTCCGCAGGATAGGGCGGTGGGAGGGCAGGAAGGAGCCGGAAGCTGGCGGTGACGTAGGCCCAGCACAGACCCCGGCCAGTGCCTCCGGGAGCTCTGGGCTGACACCGTCCTTTGGAGCTGTCCTGAGTCGGGCTAAGGGAGCAGCCTCAGACCCACATCAAGGAAAGAGACTGGAACACGTGGGCTTGGGGTTCTCATCCTTACATGGACTTCCAGGTCCCAGGCGTGTCGAGGAGGGAGCAGAGAGTTCCAGAACCGCCAAGGCCGAGGACGATGAGGAATTAGGGATACCTGGCACAGGCGAATGTGCTTCCCCCCCACGGAGAACTGGGCAGCCCCGACGTGGGTTTGGGGCTCAGCCTGGTCATGTTGCCAACTCTCTGGCGTGGTTGAGACAGAGTAAAATTACTTAGAATTACAGTGTCAGAGTCTCCACCGCACTGACGACATTTCCAACGCTCAGCAGCCATGCTGGACGGCGCAGAGCGTCTCCGCCGGTGCAGAAAGCCCTCTGCGGCCCTGCTGCTGGCCCGTGAGCCCAGCAGCCCCCCTCTCCCAGCCCTGCCGCCTCCCCGGGAGCGGCAGGAGGAGGCAGCCGTGTTCCCCTCCCTGCTGCCCTCAGCTGGGAGGCAGCTCTGTTTTAGCCCCTGACCCCCGTCTTTCTTTCATATTTCACAATGATGTGGCTTAATAAACCTGACCTGGGATCAATAGCAACTTGAAAAGTATTTCCGTTTCTTTAAGGCTGGGCCAGAGAGGCAGGGGGGAAATATTTGTATTCATTGCACCAGGTCCATTAGAGAAAAGGAAGAAACCCAGTTTAAGTTCGTAAACGTTCACACCTTGCCACAGGTAACACAAAATTTTAACACTGTTGGCCAGCAAGAAATTCATGGAAAACAATCCAGTTGCAGCACGAAATATATTTTAAAGCAGAACAAGTAAAACATTTTAGAATTAGCCTCCTCCCAAATTAACTGCATTTGATGAAAACGTAAACCTGCGTGGTTGGGCGAGGAGCTCCACGCGCTGCCGCCTTTAATAATTCAGTCGGCGTGGCACCGGCGGCCTCGGTTGCTGATGCTGCCCTAGCGTTCTGCTGCAAGTTTTTGTTATGCAGACTGTACCTCTTTTAAAACATTTCCGAACAAACTCTTCCGGACTTCAAGTTTAGTGTCTTCAGCACATGCAATATTCATAGTTTTTTTTTCTTCTGGAGTTTCAGCAAAAGTCTGGCCATTGCACAAAGTATAGGCGATGCTTAAAGGTGTTTTCCCCAGTCAGCTGCTCAATACATGTATCGAGAGGGTGGTGTTTAGGCAGATCCTTTTGTCTGCGTTGCATGTAGGCCCTCCTGTGAGGTCTATGGGAAGGGAAAGGCAACCTCGCGTCCGTGTTCTTCTATGTAAGGGGACGGAAATAAACTGCCCAGACACACACTGAATGTTTATAAAATACGACAGAAAAATATACAGCTGCACTAGCTGGGGAAAAAAAACCCCAAAACCCAAAGTGATTCTAGTACCATTTCATAGAAAGATTGCCGTGGAGGGGTGGTTGTCCCTAAGAGCACAACTTACATAGGCTCAGCACGGGCTAGGCTTTCGGGGGTTCTGACCCATGGAGCACACGACCAAAAATCGCTAGTCAAATGGGAAATACTGATGTGAATGAGTCCGGCACCCCAATGCAAAGACCTAGGTAAGATTGGATGGGAGAATCTGCTATAGAACGGAGGCCACACGGGGGCTGCGAACACCCTTCCCAAACACAGGCGGTGGGTCCAGCACGCCTGCCTGGGCCGGCAGGCGGGAGCAGGTCTTTTTCCTTCGTCAGTTGCATGGATATGACCACCGCCAGTACGTGTCTCAGGCAGAGCAGAGAAGGGTGGCAGGTGTCCCTCATCTGCCAGAGGAGTGACCCTGCCCACCCCCAGTGAGATGTGGCCAGTAAATGAAGTCTTTCCCTGCCAAAGAGAAGGTGCCATTAGGGGTGGGGAGAGGCGTGGACATCCACTTTGGGTCTCTCTCTCCCTTGAAAAGAAAGGTCAGAAGCCCCCACCTTGGTCAGTGGACCAAGGCAACACCAGGTGAAGAGTTTTCAATTTTCTTCTCTCTGCCTACAAGTAGTCCCTGTCTCATCGGAAGATTGGGAAGCAGGGGCCATAAGTAGATAACATACGTACAATAGCCAGCTAGTGTAGGAAGCCTGTGCCCAGCCTGTTGTCAAGGTCTGACGAGCACTTGCCCATTCTCTCCCCGCCCCTCCCATCTGTGGGTTTCCTGAGGGCAGGCTCTGTGTCTGAACAATCTCTCCTGGGTGCTTGTTGAATCTAATCAATCAGATTTATTTATTGAGACCTCACATGCTTAGCGCTGAGGTTACTCAGCTTAAAAGAAGTAGAAAAATTACAGAATTTTTCAGACCCAGAAGGGACCTTCGAGACCACATCTAATTCCTCTGTTTTCCAGAGGAAGAGACTGCCATTCAATGAGCCGGGAAGTCGGGTCCGAGCTCGCAGCTCAGAGCGCGCTCACAGGCAGCTGCTCAACGCCGGCGCGTCAGTCACATCGGTATCCCCAGCTCCCCCCTAAGTGGCTGGCATGTTGCTGGCTCTCAGAAAGGCCATTACTAAACAAATTAATTCACCACGCTCTCCTGCTTGCCCTTTGGCAAATGAAATGTAGCTGGCAGCTTTGCAAGACTATTATGAACAGATATGTGTGATACAACCCTTCATGCCATGTAGAAGCTTTAAGTTAGACTCTGTCCTGGACTATGTAGTGAAAATTAAAATACTGTAGCATCTTAAAAAAAATATATATATATATAATGTTTTAAAAGACATAGGAGAGAGTAACATACCACTTGGTGTGTGTTGTGTTTTCCTTTTAGGTAGGAGAAGTCATCGCGGGTGGCCAGCGAACATCCAAGTCTAAGAAAAGTGCCTCGGACAGCGGCCGAGAGCAAACGAACAAAAGGTACCACCTCCAGGCTTTCTTGTATCGGTCTCTTCAGTGTCATTGGCGGCTATGTGCACCTCCCAAAAGAGACAATTATTGAAAGATTTCAAATGATTCATCCCATGAATGGTAATCCCCAAAACGTAGACTCCTGGTTTGCAAGACCCTTGGTCCCTAAAAACAAGCCTGTGTACACAGAGGTCCCAGTTTCCTGTGAGAACGAGCAGTGGCATCCATACCAATGACTGCCACCACTTCCGGAGCCCTCACTTTGCTCAGTGGGTACAACATGCAACTTCGGTTCATAGAGGGGGAGCTTGAGGGAGAGAGACGTTTAGAATGTTTCAAGGTCGCGTAGCCATGACATGTGGCCGACTGCCGAGCCCTGCTCCTAGTGCTGCTCCCACTGCGTGCTTTCTATGACCCACACGCCGCCTCATAGGGTCCAGATCTCTCAAGGCTGCAAGGGGCCAAGAGGCCCCGTCATGTCTCCTCCTGCCAATCTCCTAATCACAGGTCATCTTCCAGACTCTGCTTAAGCATCTTTCCCACCAGGACCTTCATCCTCTTGAGAGAATGTTCACCCCCTTCTGAGTATTTCCCGGTGGTAGGAAGGCTCTCTGATTCCTCACTGAAGATTCCAGCTCGGACACTGGGGACCCTCAGGACAAAGCCCACCCCCCCATCAGCAGTGACATCCCGTAAAGTACTTTGGACAAAGTTCCCGTTATTTCTCAGTTTCTTCTTACAATGAACGCCCCTTTTCTTTCAACTTTTCCTTCTACTTGCCATGACTTCCAGACTCTTACTGTCCAGATGGCAAAATCTATTTTGAACCAGTGCAAACTATCTTTGTGATACAAGTGTACATGCTGGAATTATGGTTATAAAAATACCTGAACAGGAGCTATATTTATGTCTTGCATAATACAAGGAGTTAGGCATTTGTATATTCAAAGACAGCTGTCGGAGTTTCGTGGGGTTTGTTTGAACAGGTATGGAATGGGATTCCTACTGAAAAGTAGGGAGCTGTTTTTAACCTTGGAATCCACTCATATTTCCCAGCTTAGTGATTTCCATTTCAGATACATGAGTAATTTGCAGAGATTTGAGGGTGTTATGACTATTAGGAATAGTCATTATCGTAATTGACCTGCAGCAGCATCAACGCATGTGAAGATCTGAATCTAACCTGTGAGGGATGATGTGCGGGAAGCCCAGGCAGACAAGCAGGCTGGAGCTGGTTTCCAGACCCCAGGAGGACTGTTGTCGCTGGGATGACACGTGGTGACTAGAGATGTCCTGGCACCACCCTTTCCGATAGCACCTCCTGTGTTGTTCTTGCAGAGCAGTTCTTTTTCATCTCTATTAATAAAAAAGCTATCACTTCATGACCATACATAATACAGGGTGGGGCAAAAGTAAGATTACAGTTGTACGTATGGTAAATAATACAATAATAAAGAATAGTACAAGAAAAAACTCCGTTTTGTGTACTCACACCTGTAAACCTACGGTACTTTTGCACCCCCTGCCCCCAGCTATCTGTGTGAAGGCTGTTTGTGCTGCTCCTGAATCTTGACAAACTCCCTGATCCACATCGCCTTGGCCTCCGGCTGCGGGAGTCCGTTAACCAAACAGGCCACACACGGGACCGAGGGCACGTGGTTGGTTCGAGGAAGCGAAGGGCCGCTGACGCCCAGGAGACAGAGGGCCCTGGTGCCTCCCTGACCCAGAGCGGTCCTTTCCTGGTGCTGCGGGCGACAGAGCTGGGGGAGCGAAGGGGGAGTGGAAGAGCGAGTGGAGCAGGGTCTGGTTCACCCAGACTGGACGGGCTCCTGCTCTGCGGGGGAAGGCAGCCCGTTCCGGAACCCTTGAGGTCCTGCACAGTGAAGGAAGACGCACAGCTTCCTCACACATGGCTTTGTTGAGTGCTGCCTGCCTACCATGTGTTGCGTGATGCTATGCATTATCTTACCTCTGACTTTCAAAGTAATGACAGGCTAAATCCTGTTATTCCTAATGTACTGAGGTTCAAAGAGACGGAATGCTTTGCCCAAGATCACAAAGGTGCTGAGTGGTGGGACCAGGACTATCAATCTTGGTCTGTTCTTGGGCTCACCTCCTTCCTCTCATGGTGTCTTTTTTTCTTCTTCTTCCTCTTCTTCTTTCTTTAATATACTTTCTTCTCAGGAGCAGTCTTAGGTTTACAGCAAAACTGAGTGGAAAGCACGGGTTTTTCATATCCCCCTGCCCCACTCATGCATAGATGGCCCTATTATCAACATGTCCGCCATCTGAGTGGTCCATTTGTTACAACTGATGAACCTCCATTGACACGTCATTGTTTCCCAGAGTTTGTTGTTTACATTAGGCTCAGACTTAGTGCTGTTCATTCTATGGATTTGGACAAATGTATAATGACAAACATCCGCCATTATGTCATACAGAGTAGTTTCACTGGCCTAAAAATCCTCTGTGCTCTGCCTATTCAACCTTCTTTTCCTCCAGCCCCTGGCAACTGTTGAACTTTACTGTCTCCGTAGTTTTACCTTCTCCAAAATGTTACGTAGCTGGTATCATACAGTATGTAGCCTTTTCAGATTGATTTCTTTCACTTAGTGATATGCATTTAAGGTTCCTCCGTGTCTTTTCATGATTTGGTAGTGCATTTTTTAGCACTGAATAATAGTCCGTTGTCTGCATTCACCACAGTTTATTTATTCATGTACCTACTGAAGGATAATTGGTTGCTTCCAGTTTTTGGCAATTATAAATAAAGCTGCTATAAACATTGTGTGCAGGTTTCTGTGTGGACATAAATTTTCAACTCCTTTGGGTAAATAACAAGGAATACGATTGCTGGATCGTATGGTGAGAGCATGTTTAGTTTTGTAAGAAACTGCCAAGCTGTCTTCCAGAGCGGCCGCCCCGTCTGCATCTCCACCAGCAGTGAGTGCGCGCGTCTGCTGCTCCGTGTCCTCGCCGGCACTTGGTGTGGTCCGTGTTCTGGGTTCTAGCCATTCTGATCGGTGTGTTGTGATGATGCCTTGTTTTAATTTGCATTTCCCTGGTCACATGTGGTGTGGAGCATCTTTTCCCATGTTTCTAGCCAACTGCACATTTACCCTGGGGAGGTTTCTGTGAAGGCCTCTGGCCTACCTTTCAATCATGTTGTTTGTTTCCTTGTTGTTGAGTTTTAAAAGTTCTTTGTACCCTTTGGATAATAGTCTTTTATCAGATGTCTTTTGCAAATCTTTTCTCCCAATCTGCAGCTTGTTTTGCCATTCTCCTGAAGTTATCTTTCACAGAGCAGCAGTTTTTCATTTTAATGAAGTCCAGCTTGTCAGTGACTTCTTTCACGGCTTATGCCTTTGGTGTTGTGTCTAAAATGCCATCACTGTACTGAGGTTTTTCTCCTATGTTATCTCCTAGGAGTTTTATAGTTTTACATTTTATGTTTAGGTCCATGATCAGTTCTGAGTTAGTTTCTGTGAAGGTTGTAAGATCTGTGTCTAGATTCTTTTTTGTCTGTTTTTGCACATGGTTATCCAGTAGTTCCAGGGCAATTTGTAGAAGAAACTATCTTTGCTCCATTGTGTTGCCTTTGTTCCTTGGTCAAAGACCACTTGACTGTATTTATGGAGGCCTATGTATGGTCTCTCTGATCTGTTCCATTTATACTTTACTTTATTCTTTTGCCAATGCTGTTCACTGTCTTGACTGTAATAAGTCTTTAAACTGAGGCACATCAGTCCTCCAACTCTTGACCTGTTCCAGTATTGTGCTGGTTAGTCTGAGTATTTTGCCCTCTCTATAAACTTTTCAACCACTTGATACTGGGAGCTGCTCCATTGCTTAGAAAATAGTTTGGAAGCTTTTCAGAGGCCTGGGATGTGCTCAGCCAGGAATGCACTCAGCCAGGAAGCCATGGGCTTCGGGCAGACCCTAAGGGTGCTGTCCGTTTGGGGCCACTTCACTCTAAATTCAAGGCTCAGGGTCTTTAACCATCAGCTGCTAAAAACTGACGGGGGCATCAGCTTGTGGTGACAACTCAGCTCTCCTCTGTCCCACTGGGCAACTCTCCTCACTGCCCCCCCAGAGGTGGGCAGCGTGGGCCGATGTCTTATTCACTCTTATACGAGAGGGAAGCCCTTTGGGACCCATCCTAACTGGGGAGAGGGCACCTGTCAGACTGGCCACCTGGCATGCTCAGGACCTTGACCTCTGTCCCTGGACTCCATAGGGTGAGCGTAACCATAGCACAGCTTTAGGGCCTCAGGAAATGCCCTCTGAAAGTGGCATCAGAACCCATGTCCCCTCTTGGGTTCCTCCATTCACTAAATTCCAACCTCTGCGAGTTCTTTATTGTCTTGTCAGATTCTTAAAGATCTCAAGAAGATTTTCAGCTGGAGATGGGAGTCTTTCAAACAAATATGCCCGCCTACCATATTATTGGAAGAAAGTTCTTATGTTCCTTAACACAAGGAATCAATCCTTGCTGTGTTGTATGCCTAGTAATACTTTTTTTTTTTGGTTTCCTTTTTTGGTAATAAATATGTTCATTTTGTCCTCCAGTTACTCTTTCTAGACTCCAGCGGTGCTGGTCCTGGCAGCCAGGTCGTGGGCCGCCAGACATGGCCTCTGGCCTCAGGCCTGTGACTCGGAGGCAGGAGGCAGCAGGGAGAAAAGCCCTCTCCTCTTTATTTGGGGAATTAGTGCGGCCCTCCAGCACCCCAGGCCGTGCCGCTCGCTGTTCATTACCCGGAGCTTCAGGAGTGATTAAGGTCCTGCTTGCCAGTTGCGCCCCCATCCCCCCTTAAGGAGGCGAGCGGGGCGGCAGATAACTGTGTCCTGGCCCAGCTCGCTCTTTATTGCTGAGGTCCTGGAACTGTGGCCCCGGAGACAGGCTGGCAGTGAGGTAGCCTGCTGTCCCTCAAAGTCAGGGCAACATCATTATAACAGACCAATTTGGATATTTACTTAATTAATCCACTGATGCCATAGGCTTTCAAATAAGAATACAGTAATTAAAAAGTAGAAGTCTATTTAATAATGACTGTAATGTAGGTCCTTGAAAACTGTAACTTCCTGCATGGTTTATAGTGTACAGTGTGGGTCTTCAGAATATGCTATCATATGCTCTTTGTGTCCTTTGTATTCTTACACAGCAGGTGTGTGTGTATTAGTAAAAATCCTGAGAGGGATCAAAAACTCAAATGCCTTCGCGGGCTGAGCAGATCACAGAATTGAGCGGAAGGGCTTCAAGAACAATAGGGAATTCACACTTTGCAAAGCCAAGGGGACCTGCCCCCTCCCCCAGCTCCCCCAACAAAATGTCCCCTGCAGGAAATTGGGCTAAGGGCTCCTGGACTAGACTGACTGTGGTTTTCTTTTGATTACACATAATTTCTTATTTAATTTCATTTTCCCATATCATGATTTTTTCTTTAGATTTTTTTATTTTTCAATTACAGTTTACACTCAATATTATTTTGTATTAGTTTCAAGTGTACAGCATAGAGATTAAACAATTAAGATTTTTAGAATTTATTCAGTAAAACCATATGCCAAAGATACAAGCTGGAAAGACAAAATTTCTGCTTCAGAGATGGCAGTCTAACAGAGGAACAGACCGATCATGGGACAATTGCTTGGCATTGTGATCGATTACCAGGGAGCCTGTCTGTTTGCTCCGACCATTGGATTCCTGGTGTTTAGAATGTAGTAGGACTTCATGTGTAGCTGTTGACTGACTGACTGAATGGGTGATGCAGTGATTCCAAAATAATGCGACTGATCAGCAAAACCACCGGGGGCACTTTATATAAATACCAAATGCTGGGCCCGGCTCCAGGGCTTGGGAATCGAAATTGCCAGAAAAGCAGCCCGGTGACCTGTATTATCTAGAGTTTCTATGACGATGATGACGGGAATCATCGGCCAGACCTTCCTGTCTGTTTCACTGCAAGCACGGCTGAGAGGCCTGGGGGCGGGCCCTTGGAGCAGGTTCCCGTGGGCTGGATTGCCTGAGCCTTACTAGCCACATCCCGGAGCGAGACCGGCCTGGAGGCATCCCATCGTGATCCTGGCTGTGGGCTGGGACTTAGGTGAGCAGACCTCTCACCCACTGACCCACTGACCGCTCCACCAGCTGCCTGGGGGGCAGCAAGCCGCTGCTTTCAACACACTGCTACCCCAAGGCAACACTCTTGTGTGTACAAGGCTCTAAGCTACTTAAAACCAGGCCCAGTCTCCCTCTCTCTCTCTCTCTTTCTCTCTCGCTTTTTTTTTTTTTTTTTTTGTCTCTATGCTTCAGAGATAGAGCACTTGCCGGTGGTTGCTGAATAAATGAATGAGGGAGTTGATTCTGTTTGAAATTTCATTTTAAATGATCTATCAATTTCCTTTGGCCTTTTTTTTTGTCGTTCTAGAAGCAAGCAAAGTGAGAAACTGGAAGTGGACCCTAGCAAGCACTCCTTCCCCGATGTGGCTAACATAGTTCAAGGGGAGAGACACAAACCCAGGAGAGTCCAAGCTGAACCTGCAGTTACACCAAACGAGGAAGACCCGGACTTCGAAGATAACCCTGAAGTGCCTCCATTGATGTGACACATCGACTGTGACCCCCAGACCCATTTTGCTTAGTGCAGAGAGTGTATGCATATCATTTATCGAATAAACACAGTTATTTATCAATATCACTCCCCCAGTGTTTTGGCTCCTACTTTCTACACTAGTATTCTCAAACTAGTCTAAAATTAAAAGGTGTACCTTAAATATGCTGTAATTCATTATTTGTCCAGATAAAGTGTTGGCTAGTGAAAATGTTCAGTAAGTCATAGAAATTACCTAACGCAGACATCCCTTAAATAACCAAAAAATGTGCTGTTGTGGACTGACTGTGTGGGCCCCCCTCATTCGCATGTTGAAGCCCTAACCCCAAATGGGATGGTGTTTGGAGACGGGACTTTGGGAGGTAATGAGGTTAGATGAGGTCACAAGGATGGGCCCCCCAAGTGGGATTAGTGTCCTCAGAAGAAGAGAAGAGACCACAGCACGCGCTCTCTCCCTTTCTCACCCCGCCTCGCCTCCACTGTGAGGACACGGAGAAGGCAGCCATCTGCGCACCAGGAAGAAGGATGTCACCAGAAACTCAATCAGCCAGCACCTTGAGTTGAGACTTCCCAGCCACCAGAACTGTGAGAAACAAATGTTTGTTGTTTGTCACCTAGTCTGGAGTTGTTTGGTACGGCAGCCCAAGCCGACTAAGACACTGTCCGCCCCTCAGAAAGGAGACACGGAGTCCTGCGTGTCACCGCATCCATCCTTGGATGATGGACATTCCTCCTCTAGAGGAGTCACACCTAAATGCCATGGCACCTGCCTGAACCTTAATGCAGGGGCAGCGAGGGTTCACTCAAGGTTAAGAAAGGGCAACGGGTGCCGTGGCCAGTATGGCTCAGCTGGTTGGAGCGTCGTCCCGTGACCGAAAGTGGTGGGTCTGGTCCCCAGTCAGGGCACATACCGAGGCTGCGGGTTTGATCTCTGGTCCAGGTGCGTGGTATCCCCAGTCTGGGCACAGACGGTAGGCAACCCATCGGTGCTTCTCTCTCACATCGATGTTTCTCTCTCTCCCTTCCTTTCTCTGTAAAAGCAATGAAAAAAGGCTCTCAGGTGAGGATAAAAGAGAAAAAGAAAAGATATATGCAGATTTTCAGGCCCCACCCCTTTGAAAAACAAAAGAAAAGGCAACGGCAACATAGGAGAACAAATATGCTGTGCTTGGACCACGGCTGCAAGGTGAACATTCAACCTTCAGTTCCTACAAACAGTAACCCAGGGTCCTGGGTCTCCCTGACCCCTTCTCACTCGGCCCCTGCTCATTCCTCACTTCCAGAAGGTTCATCGCTCATGCCTCCAAGTCAGCCCCACGAAGGCAGGAGAGGCCTTCTGTCCTCCCGGTCCCTGTTCCCGATGCCCAGGCACTCTCCAGTCCAAGCGTTTTTTTCTCCTGCTTTTCAAGTTTTTCCTGAGCAGCAGGATGGCCCATGATGTCCTCTATGTCCCCAGCACAGCCACTCACGCCTCTGCGTCTTGCTCCCAGCTACCCTAACGAGCCTTGCGGCAGGACCCCTGCATCCGGGTGGTTGGAGAAGGTCACTAGGAACCTGCTGACAGGGAGCACTCTCAGTGCCCTGCAGGGGGTGTGGGTGTGTCTATCCCCAGGGCTTGAGAGGATGCGCCCTCCTTCCCAGCTGGGGGCGGGGCCCTGCCCTCCACGTGACCGCCGCCGGGGCTGCACCAGGCAGTGTGTCCGGGGACAGCCCGTCTCAGCTTGTGTGGCGCTTTGGGTGGAAAGTGTTGCCTCATCTCCCGTCGACACGCCGTGGACCAGTGTGTCTGTCACTCTTGTAGCGACCTTCGCTGAGACTTGCTGCCTCTGAGACACCCGGCCCCCAAGCTGTGCTCCTTCCGCCTGGTCTGGCGCTCCCCCGGTGGTAGAGACAGGCTCCAGCTAGCCCTGCTGACGACTCTGCCGCTCAGCAAACAGGTCCTGCGCCGCTACTAGGTGCAAGGACCCACACTGGGTGTCAGGACAGATTCTGTCCCGAGAGTCCCCCTCTGGGTTCCCATCCTCTTTCTGCTGAGTGACCGCTCCCTGTGGCCGGCACCGTGCAATGGCCAGGTGACCCCCTCGCTGTCCTCTCCTCCATGGACAGGCTCGCCCTCTCCCTGGACACCCGGCTCCATCCCGTGGCTTCTGCTCTGGGCCCGCCCTCACCCCAGCCCTTCCCCTTGACATGCATGCACCTTTGCTCACTGCCTAGAGGACAAGGTCTGGGCCCAGACCTGTTACAAGGTCACATCTCCCCCAACTCCCCCCTGGGCACCCAGCCTGCCCGCTACACCAAAGTTGTCACCTTTCCTGACAGTATGCATGACCCTCTCTCGGGATGTCACTGAACTGAGGCTGGGGACGTGCTGGGTCCCAGGGCCCGGGTGAGCCCTCTCAGGCTGCATAGGAGCGCAAGGCGGTGCCGGGGCCCAGGCCCAGTGTGCAGGCCCTCCGTGGGCTGGGGGCGGGGCGGGTGTGGTTAGGAAACCAGACCCCTCTCTCATCCAAGACTCAACATGTGAAAGGTTACTTTGAGATCTGAAAGTGAAAGTAATACAAAAGACTTCTAGATCACTGCTGCATTGCTGGGACCCTCCCGTGTGGGACACCCAATCAGGCCGCGCCGCTGCTCAAAGGGTTGCGTTTGCACGGAGAGCCGGGAGGTGTAGCGTCAGCCCTCTGCCGGGTGGGCACGACTCTTCCCGCTGGAGCCTGTCTGCGGATGAAGCAACGACGGCCGGCGCACCAGGCCTTCCCCGGACAGCTCCTCCTCGTGGGAGGGAGATGCGCCGCCCGCCCCTGATGCGTCTGTTCTTCCATGTGGAGGAACATCCTTTGGCATCACAGTCCTCGGTCTGAGCTGTGGCAGTAAAAACGGGGGTGCTGCTGATTGTACCCCCACGTATTGTAACGCCTTGCATTCTTGTGGGGTTCCTGATTCCCTCTTCCTGAAGATTTAGCCAGTCTAGGCTTGTGCTTCTGTAAGCCTTTCTTCCTGCAGCAACCTTGGGATTATGCCGCTTCCTTTTCGCCCGGCTCCCCTGGGGGCGGGGCTGCATATTGCTCATCTGTGGCTCCCAAGAGCCTGTCCTTAACGTGCAGTTTGAATGACCCCCACACTGACCACTGAGCTTCCATCTTTCATGACACTTCCCCACTCAAAGCCTACAGAGACTGAACATTCTGGACACGCAAGCCTGGTTCCCTCGTGGACGGGCGTGGCTGACCCTGAGCTGGCCCCAGGGCCCAGGTGGGCCCGCACCAGATCACGCTCCTTCATGTGGACCCAGGAGGCTCCTCGGCGCCAGCTCAGCCACGTCCCTGTACAGGCAGCTAATGTGAGTTTTATGGCTGATAAACTCTGGTTCACAGAATCCACTTAAACAATGCTTCGCGAGCCTGGAAAGTTCTCATACTTGACTATCATTTGTGAACCACTCATAAAGTACCTACTGTGGGGCCAGCACCACATTGGGTGCATCATATGCAGCGGTCTCCAATCAGAATGATCTGCAGTGTTGAGATTATTAGCCCCATTTAATAGAGGAGGAATGTGGAGTTTGTTGGGATTGAATGGATTCTTAGTAAGAACAGTCTGGTTTGAAACTCTAACCTATTCGTATTTCAAACCTACGCACCCCCCTTTTCTATGACACCATACTAATTTACAAGAAAAAATATACAAAGTTCCATACACGTGTATCAACAAGACTATACCCCTAACTCCACTGACATGTAAAGAATCCCAAGCCCTCTCCTTGTATGAAAACATTTGCACCGACTGATTTTTTCATGGCAATGTCTCTTTAAATCAACCCCTTACTCTTTTTTTCCTCTGTGAATTAGCCAGGTTGCTAAGCTGGCGCAGTGCAGCGGTGTAAACGTGCCCCCCATTAATAGTGCCTCATCAGCACAGAGGCAGCGTGTGACATCACCTCTGGAAGTATTACCTGAATGCAGTTAGCACCGCCTCCCCTGCCGGCTTCAGACGAGAACGGGAGCTCAGCAGAAATGGTAGCTGCCTGCACGAGCCCTCCGCAGAGTCCTGGGGTCAGAGAAGATGAAGTCCTCCTTGCCCACCGGTGTCCTTCCTGTCACTCTGCCCCCTTTGGCTGCATCAGCCCCCCTGCACCTTCAAGCTGCCAGCAGCAGGGCCCAAGGCTTCCAGGGTGTGTTGTTCCCAACTGGAACGGCTCTGTAGGGGCTTCACCCCTTAAACAGAGCATGTCGCGTCTCCAGGCAACTGGGTAGATCTGTTGTGAGTTGTGCTGATGGAACAGGGTGCCTGGCACCAGGGAAAACGGCCCCTTCCTTCAGTGCTGGGTCTAACATCCCAGGAACCCCCCGCTGGATGGGGGAGGAGCTGGGGTGTGCCAGGATAGTGGGGGGCGCTGTCGGAGCCCCCAGGGGACTTTCTCCAAGATCTTCAGGCAGCTCCACCTGCAGTGAGCCCTTCCTGGCTTGTGAATTTTCTCCCCTGTGTAAACACCAGGGATTCCCAAAGTGCCAGTCTTGGTCTTTAAAAAGTCTAACAAATTCAATTGTATTTGAGATTAAAGTCACTCATTCATCTGTTCATAAAAAGGAGTAAACTCATGTCGGGTCTGTCTGTCCCACGGTCAGCAACAGCGTCCTCCACGCCAGAGAGGGGCCGGGTAGCTGAGGGAAGGGCTAAGGAGAAAACGGGAAGCCCTAGAAGGGATGGCTTCCTACACAAGGGGACACAGCCTCATTTGCCACTTACTAGCCGTGTGACTTTGGGAAGGCGGTTCACCTCATTTGAGCCTCCGTTTCCTCATCTGTGGAATAGGGTTTATATTAACCCTGATCTCATAGAGGTGGTTAAATGCATGTGACACTACTTGTACGTGGTAATCACATCAGTAACTGTCCATGGTCAGGGTGATGATGGTGGTGGTGATGGTGAAGATAGTGACAATGATGATGATGACGACCGTGGTGATACTGATTTTGATGACAGAGAAATGTGTAC